AAAACTTCTCTGTTTTACAGTGAACTATTTAAAGTGTTTAGTTGACCAAAGACCTTCTGCTTACAGAAAGATTTGTATTTCTAACTCAGAGTTTTTAATTATTTCTAGAAATTTGTCATTTTATTTTTGCAACACAGTTCTAAATGCTTTTAAAATGGAAAGTTTTAATACCACGATTAACTGGTCCAATATTATTTATGAGTATAATAAGTTAAAGTGAACACATCAGCATTTGGAATAGTTTTACAGTGCTGTCTTCAAGCAAGCCCAACATTAATTGCTGTGCGTATATCACACAATGAGATTTTAAAATACAGCAATTTATTGTAGCTTATTTCAGCTCTGCTGAGTAGACCGTGTGAATGTCAACAAGAGACCCAAATAACTTCTGTAGTGAACCTAGGCAGGAGAACTAAATGGGCAGTGGGGATGCACCCTGAAGAGCAGCTTGAAGTGTGTGTACAGCTGTGGAGTGTTTGAAAACAAAAGTAAATTGGTATGCGGCAATTACAGATGAAGTGTCTTTTTATAAGCAAAAGCATCATGTAGCCTATGAATCAAAGCTGCAAAACTGTAAACAATGATAAGCGATTTCGTCAGCAGTTGTAGTCATAAGGCAAAAGAAAGGTGGCTAAATAGTAGGAAGCAGTGGGTCTCAAACTTCAGCATGCCTCAGAAACACCTGCAGCGTGTTACAACATCGTCTTCTGGGCCCGACCCCCCAGTTTCTAATTTAGTAGATCTGGGACCCAAGAACTTCGTTACTGGCAAATCCCCAGATGACGCTACTGTGGTCACATTTTGAGAACCACTGGCATCAGGTTTTTCAGCCACAGCGTATATATGTGACTAACATAACTGCATATCTTTACATAAGATAGCATGACATTAATATTTGACTCAAATATTATTTTCCTCTTGGCCTACTGAAAATGTTTCTTATTATATCATTCTTTCTCACTAGAGGGAACTCAAATTTGATTTCTAGAGTATTTTCTTAATACTTTAACAGATCTGTTTTGAGTCCTAGAATCTTTTTTGGAAACAGGGTCCCACCCTTTTACCCAGGTTGGATTCCCCTCCCTAGCATGACCACGGTTCACTGCATCCTCAAACTCCCAGGCTCAGGTGATCCTCCCACTTCAGCCTCCCAAGTAGCTGGGACCAAAGGTACACACCACCATGCCCAACTGATTTTTATGCTTTTTGTAAAGAAGGGTTTTCATCATGTTGTCCAGGCTGGTTTCAAGTTCCTGGGCCCAAGCCATCCTCCCACTCGACCTCTCAAAGTGCTGGGATTATAGATGTGAGCCACCATGCCAGGCTGGGTCCTAGAATCTCACCAAGAATAGATAGTTCTGTAAAGTGACGCACTGATCTTGCCTCAAATATCCCTACCAAATGGTTATTCAGGCTGTGCGTGAGCTCTGAGCGTCACTCACCATGGCCCTTTTCATGTGTGAAGAACCATGACAATGAGGAAGTACTTTATTGAGCTAAAATCTGTTTTCTGTAAGTTTTACCTGTTGATCCCAGTTCTAGATCATGCAAACTATGAGTAATGGAAGGTATTATTAATTAAGGTTTTCTGATTGTCTTCAAATAATTAGATATAGCTTCTTATCCTTCTACCATCTCTTTGGGTAAAGACTAGCATATCCATCAACCATTTCTTATAGATAAGATGTCAAGTCCCCTCACTGTCCTGGTTACCTGCCTTCTAAATTTTGTACTCAAAATTTAATGCAATTCTATTAACACAGTAAAAATAATTCTAATGTAATAGAATTGTGTGGAAGTATAGAATTATGATTAAGATCATATTCTTTGACATCAGAGAAACTTGAATTTGAATCCCATCTTTGCCCTTTTCTAGCAAGCCTTGTGGTCTTGGGAAAGATTTTTAGCCTCTTTCAGATTCCTTCGTCTTGTATTTTAAAATGGGGTTATAAAACCTACTCCATCTTATGCCAAACAAAGAGAATTGAACAAGAACTAATTGAGGGGCCAGGCACAGTGGCTCACGGAGGTAATCCCAGCTTTGGGAGGCTGAGGCACGAGGATGGCTTGAGGCCAGGAGTTTGAGACCAGCCTGGCCAATGTGGCAAGACCCGTTTTCTATAAAAAATTAAAGAGTCAGGGATTGGTGGCCCACACCTGTAGCCTCAGCTATAGGAAGGCTGAGGCAGAAGGATCGCTTGAGCCAGGTTGAGGCTGCAGTGAGTCATGATCACACCACTGCACTCCAGTCTGAGTGACAGAGCAAGGTCCTCTCTCTAAAAAAAGAAAAAGAAAACAGGGATTTGAAAAGTAGTTAAGTCCTTAGACTTGTCCACTTTGCTAAACAGGTGAACTGTTACTGTGAATACCCACCTACCTCTGCACCCAGTGGCAGAGTCTGAAGATTTGTTTTCTGGAGAGGGCAGATGGAAGGTCTCTAAATTAGAGATGCTAGGTAGAATTACAAGCGTGGGTACTGTCACCAAAGCTACAGGATTAAGTGATGATATGTAAACCAAATGCTGAATGCTGCAGCCCCCTCCCCCTGCTGGCCTCCCAGCGCCCTGGTAGCTAGACCTTTACCCTCTAGGTAGGAGATAGGACATCTGTTCTCCTGGAACCCAACTGGCTGGCCTAGAGGAAAGAACTAAAGATATTGACATTAGTCGTTCCCCAAAAAAATGACTATTCACTAAAGCTCAAAGTTGGCAAGTGCCTATACACACTCAAAGTTCAACTTTTTAACCCTCCACTCTTAAACATAGGCAGACAGAAGGAGTGCCAAACATCTGAACAAAACTAATATGAAACATTGAAACAAAAACAAAGGAAAACAATTTTGAGGAAACATACACTATGAAGGGAAAGGAAAAATTTTTTAAAGTTTATCATTATTATCCTCAAAGAAATAAGAGAATACAGTATATGAAACAAGAATAAGATGTTACAAAAAGAATTTCTGAAAATGAAAAAAGCTCTTGGAAATTTAAAAATATAATAGCAGAAATATAAGACCTCAATGAGAGGACTGAACGCTAACATCGACAAAATCTACATGGAAGTAAAGCAAAAAGACAAAGGTAGGGAAAATGGGGAAGAAGAGCGGGAAGATTACCGGACCAGTCCAGGAGATCTAACACCTGACAAGAAGGGGTTCTGAAAGAGACAACAGAGAAAACAGAGGAGAAAAGAGGTGATGCAATCATTAGGGAAATTTTCTGGGGCTGAAGGAAATAGGTTGCCTGACTGAGTTGACCTCAGTGAGTGAAAACAGTCTCACTTCAGGGCACATCACTGAGAAGCTTCCAAATCCTCTGAAACAAAAGAAATTCTGTGATGCTTCAGAGAAAAAACAGGCTCTATGCAATGGATAAGAATTCAAGTGGCTCCAACCCCTGAGCAGCAATACTAGAACCAAGAAAACAGTGAAATGTGGCCTTCAAACTTCTGAAAGAATGATTTCTGACCTAGAATTCTTTAACCAAACTATCATTAAGCCTAAAAGTAGAGTACAGACATTTTCAGACATGCAAGTTTTCAAAACGTTTTCTCCTCGTGGCTGTCGTCGTTAGCATGCCCACTACCATCTTTCCATCTTGTTAAGCCAAAGATAGAATGTCTCGATTAGCCTGACCTAGATTCCTAACTGTTCTTGGCTTTTCTTGACCATGTGCTGATGAAGTTCCTGCTTTCCTTTTCATGTCCCTGCTGTTGCATCAGCTGAGAATATATTTCATCCCCAAAAAAGTTTTGTGATTGGAATTTTTCCTGAGAACTGGGGATAAGCCATGGAAAAGTTTGAAGCAAAAAAATAGAAACTGCCTGCCCTGGCCATAGTTTTTACAGGAGGTCCAATTTAGTTTAGAAAGGACATGAATATGTAAAGCAAAATAAAATAGTAGAAAAATAAGCCATGTGTTCTCATTAGTAAGCATCAATTTCCCTCTTCTGTGACTTACAATGAATTTCTTTTTTTAAGTAGCAAGTTCAGAGTTAGTTGCAAAAAGTTTAGAACTGCATTCTACCAATTTGTATCACATATCATAAGTGAATGTCAACAGATACTCCAAGAAGAAGAAAAAAAGTTACATGTTTAAGAAAGCTTGGGAAACACTTGAATAAATTACCAAAGATTTCTCAGAACTTTAAATGCACTGATGGACATTGTTAACTTCCTTCTGGAGGTACAGTATGCAATTGCCCAGTTTTATTGACGACGAAGCCTGTTTTTACAAAACATCTTCTAACATCTGAAGGAACACTGTGTTTCTCAGAACAGTTTGGGAAATAATGATTTAGAATGAAGTGTGGGAGATTTAATATGATTTTGCCTGAAAGGAAGCAAAAACTTTACGAAATCTGTAATTTTATGAAACAAACAAAAAAAGATTTACAATGCTTTTTACTTTACTTTTAGTTTCTTGGTGAGAAAAAAAAAATGATATACATTTGCCAAAGTGTTCTAGAGCTCAGATGGATTGGACTTCAGTCTGGATTATGTTTCACTACAGAGAGACAAATATTTATTTCACTAACTTTTGAATATTTGTAGTTGGGTAGTTTCATTTTGCCATAATAATCTCTGCAGGAAAAAAATTTAAAAGTTGAAGGAATCTGTTACAGTTTTCTCACACTTTCTACTTTAAATACCAACTTAAAATGCTGGCAGTCTCTAGAATGGGGTTTAATACTTTTCTGCTCTCTCTGATTAAGTTTAGTGTAAAAATATGTTGGGCAGGGTTTGAGTCAAGATGAGTCAAGATGAATATTGATAATTCTATTTTAGCTTCATTTCCATGGTATTATTGATATATAATACATCTGTAGATTTTCTTAGTTTCCTGCTTTGGGTTTTTTTAAGCTTATTATGAATAGTTAACATTTAAAATTCTAAGCAGTTTATTTATGTTGAGCCCTTCCAGATAGGCTTTTACATTATAAAATTATTTCAGCTATTACTCTCATTTGTATGTTGCATACATCTTTTTCTCTCATTTTAGTTTCAACTCCCTCTGAGGAAGCATCTACCTTTTCTCCTTTATCCATGTCATCTCCTGATTTAGCCTCTCCGGAGAAGTCAGCTCATCTCTTATCCCCGATTCTGGCCAGACCTTCCTTCTGGACTTTGTCACATCAACAGATGTCTTCTGCCTCCTTTAAAGATAAAGACAAGTCGGCCAAGCTGCATCACTCCTTTGCTTCTAGGGGCCCAGTGTCTCCTGATGCAGGGGAAAATGATAACCTCAATCTACTGGGAATTCGTCCAAACAACTCTGATTTTGCTAAAAAGAATATAAGTCCTATTTCTAGTAGTCACCGGGGAGAGTTTTCCACCCCAAATGCAGACTATATTTCTAGTAGTAATTGGGGAGGGTTTTCTACCAGGAATGTAGACCATATTTCTAGTAGTCACTGGGGAGAGTTTTCCACCCAAAATGTAGACCAGTTCATCCCTCTGTCCTGTTCTGGTTTTCAGTCAACCAAAGACTTCTCCAGGGAACTTGAAGCAAAGAATTCCATTAGTGTTCTTCTAAGGGAGGTAAAAAGTGCTTTAGCTAGATTACATGAAGATCTGAGCACAGTGATCCAAGAACTTAGTGTCATCAACAGCCATCTGATGAGCATGAGTTTGAATAGTTCACAAATGAGTCAGTCTTCACAGGTCCCCCAGTCTTCTGAGGGGAGTGCAGATCAAATCTAATCGTTGCAGTATCTATTTTTGGTGGAACTCATGTGGTTCCACTTCCCCAAGACTTAAGTTAACATTGTATACATTCATATTACTAGGGCAAAAAGGGGGATAGTTTAATTTTTCCTTTTCAGGTTTATTAACAAGTATCTTTCAAACCAATAATTTCATTTGGGTGATTTTTTAAAAGGGAAAGATGTCACCTTTAATAATTTCAGAGTTAGATATTAGTTCATTTGAAACATAAGAGAATTTCATTCTTTCATGCTCTGTATCTTAATTGGGTTAAGCATTAGTGAAAATTGTGGTAAGACCTCAAACTGTAAACGACTATTCAAGAGCATCTGGCTGAGGAGACAGGAAGAAGCTCCTTATCTGGCAACTATATGGGGCTTGTTAAGCCTCCAAGGTGACCCAGGAGAATCAAGTTTGGGGTATACATTTCACATGTTCTTTTGCGAGTTTTAGGTTCTGCAAACCAAGGGCCAGAAATCTTCTTTCTTCCAGATGCCAGTGTTGGGAGTTAAATGGAAACAAGCAGGACATGAAACAAGCGTTTTTATTGTCAATGTATATTGCAAAGTGAATTCAAATGCATACTTTTTATTCTATTTCAGAAAATAAATTTGATATTTTTCATCTTATGTGTATCTTTTAAATTCATTAAGACAGCCTTTCAAATAGGAATGTCTCAGTTATTTATGGGCAAAACAATCCTGTTTGGGGATTACAGGCCAGTGATACCCAACCCTGCTACACACTGGAATCGCCACAGCAGGTTTCCTTTCATTTTATATTTGTCTGGGAGAATAGTGTAATGGGTCCATGTGCCCATCACTCAGTTTCAACAATTACCAACTCAAGGCAAAAATGATCCTGATTATTTTGAAGACATACGAAACATTTTAAAAATACACTAAGGCCAGGGTCCTGCTCCCAGACTAATTGAAACTGGTTTTCATCATGCAGACTGAATTAGGAGATAAAGGGAATTGTCAGTGAAAAGACCTTAAAGCTGGAGGAATTTGGCATGGTTGAAGAATGTCGAGAAGGCTGGTGTGGCTGGAGTGAAGTGAGCAAAGGGGAGAGCAGATGGAGATCAAGGTCATGGAGCAAAGGTGACAGATGGCATAGGTTCTTAAAAACCATTGTTAGAGATTTTGGCTTCTACCCTGTGAAATAAAAATTAGGATAGGGGTCTAGGATACAAAATAATACGTGACTCTGATTCTAAATGATTGCTCTGGCTTTGGCAGGGGAAGTGGTACAAGAACATGAGGTAGGGCAGGTAAGCTGTTGCAGGTCTTCAGATGAGAGCTGATGGCGGCTCAAAGCTGGGTGGGCATGGTGAGGGTGAGTGAGAAGTTATTAGTTCAGGCAATCACTAATGGATTGGACAAAATATGTAAGAGGAAGAAGAGTCAGTGACAGATCCAAAGTACTGGACTGAGCAACTGAAATTCAAGATGACATTGCCATCAACTGAGATGAGGAAGGCTGTAGGTAGAGAACATGTAGAGACATTCATTTTTAGATATTTTAATTTCAACTATGTGTTAGACAGCCAAGTAGGCACCTGGATGTGAAAGCTGAGATTTCGAGGTAGTCTAGATTGGGATGGAGGCAGGCAGTTAGGAATTTGGTGGTTATTTAAAACTATAAGACGAAATGAAATGATCAACGGACTAAGCGTGATCATGGAGAAAGTTGGAGGCCTGAGCCCTGTGCCATTATAACAAAGAGATTAAGAAAAAGTTGAAGAGCCAATGAAGGAAACTGAGAATAACCCATCACCCAAGTAGGAATTAAACAATAGTGTGTGGTGTTTGGAAACAAAGGTTGTACAGTTTTACATTGAATACATGCCCTTTACATAGATTCACCAATTGTTAACATTTTGCTGTGTTCACTTTATCTCCCTCTGTTGCTAAACATGTTTATATATGCATTATATAGAGAGACATGTTTTACCGAACTATCTGAAGGTAAGTTGCAGACATTTTGACACTTCTCAACACTTAGGGTGAACATACTTACTACATGATCAAAGATAATGATTATCCAACTTACCTTCCAGCTAATTACTTCTCTCTTCAGCTGTGTCTGGTCCATTATCAAATCATCCCATCAAGTTTTAATTAGGTTATTATATTTTTTATTTCTAGAATTTTACTTGGTTCTTTTAAATTTTCCTATAGTTTTATAAGTTAATGTTTCTTACAGAGATTTTCAGCTATATCTTTACTATTAAAATAGTAACCAAACTAGTGTAGAATTCTTACTAGTAAGAATATTAGGCTGGGCATGGTGGTTCATGCCTGTAATCTGACCACTTTAGGAGGCTAAGGTGGGAGGATCACTTAAGCCTAGGAGTTCGAGACCAGCCTGGGCAACATAGCTAGACTGTGTCTCTACAAAAAAATAGAAGATTACCTGGGTGTGGTGGCATGTGCCTGTGGTCCCAGCTACTCCAGAGGATGAGACGGGAGGGTTGCTTGGGCCTGGGAGGCAGAGGTGGCAGTGAGCTGTAATCACACCACTGCACTCCAGCCTGGGTGACAGAGTGAGACCCTGTCCAAAAAAGAAATAATATTAAGTAAACTAGAGAGTATTCTCACCAGTAAACTAGTAATAATTATTTAAATATACATTTAAGATTATAAATAGCTTAAATGCATAGCTGCATTCCATAAAGCTTTTAAAGTTGATATGTAATGCACACACCATAAAATTTACCTTTATAAAGTGTGTAATTCAGTGATTTCTAGTGTATTCACAAGGTTGCACAGCCATCACCATTATCCAATTCCAGAACATTTTCACCATCACAAAAAGGCACCTTATCCCCATCTGTAGCTGCTCCCCATGCCCCCCTCCTCCAAGCTCCCGGCTACCACTAATTTACTGTCTGTTTCCATGAATCTGCCTACTTTGGCTATTTCATATAAATGGAATTACATAGTACGTAGCTTTTTGTGTTTGACTTAACTTAGCATATAGCTTACATTCTTTTTGTGGCAGAATAATATCCATTGTATGGCTATATCACATTTTGTTTATCCATTCATCAGCTGGTGAACATTGGTGTTCCTAGGAGCAGAATTGCTGAGTCATATGGCAACTCTTATGTTTACCTTGTTGAGGAACTGCCAAACTGTTTTCCAAAGTGACTGTACCATTTTACCACAAGTTTTGGCATGTAGTATTTTCACTGTCTTTTAGCTCCAAACATATTCTAATTCCTATTATGAAGAAGTAGAGAGGTGCATTTCCTCATTGCCACACATATTGATAATAACAAATGTTAGATATGATTTTTTGTTAATTTGATATCTCCGCCAGTTTGTGCTCTTGGTAGTGTATTTCCTTGTGTGCCTGATTATCTTTGACTATGTGGTGGTTGTGATACTTGGAAAATTATTTGTATGAATAATACAAGAACCTGCTTTTTATTTCTGCCAAGTGCCTGGTGTACCTTAACCTTAACACACAGGTTAAGTCGATTAAGGTCATGGCTTAAAGTTCTCTAGAATACGTAAGTTATCCCAGAGTTAAATTCCTCATAAGAGTTGGTTTATTTCCAATTCATTCTCACCGCATAGCTGTTAGATTTCCCTTTATTGTAAGGAACATCTCGTGTTAGACTTCCCACCTTCTATGAAGGTAATTTCTGTTCCTTCACCATCAAAATGGAAGTTGGAATTTGTTGGACTCAGCAAGTGCCTTTAGGGAAACGTGGTTTCTGTGATCATTTACCTACCTATCAGCTGCCTGTCTGAGTACCTACTATTTGTAAGGCTCTGTACCAGAACCTGAGAATACAAGAGGGAGTGCACATCAACTTCTTTATAAAATAAGGATGAAATATGAAGACATTGTCCACAGGTTTTCTTCACACATCTGGGAGATCGGCCAGTGGATTTCTAGGGAGTTACTAGTGGGATGCAGCATCTCCTTTTTGTACTGACTGTAACATTCCTTAGCTGTAGATTTTAACTAGGACTTAGAGAGCTCATATATTTTAATGCAACCATGCAAACATTGGTTAATTAGTATAATTAACAAGCACTTATTTGAGCCTCTATTTAGCCAATTCCATTAAATGAGTAGAACAAAGTTGGCTTAAATTAAGAGTGGCTGTGTTCTGATTGACTTGGTAATTATCTTAGATTAAAAATACTTCAGTAGATGTTATTCTCTTAAGTACTTTGGAACTTGAGGATCCTATTTTATAAGGCAGTTATAAAAATATTTTACAGTTTGCTCACTGTCGAATTACTGATGTGTTCATTCTTTAAATATGTATTAAGCACCTATGATGAATAGGCAGTTTGCTGGACACTGGGGACACCACAGTGGGCAGGATGGATGTGCTCACTGCATGTGCTCACTGCCTTCAGAGCTAGTTCAGTGGAGACACAGATAAGTGGGTAGTTGTTGTCTCACGTGTAGGTCCTATAAATTTGGGAGCACAGCGTGGTGTGGCAGAGCCTGATAAAGCATGACAACCTGCTCCGATTAGGGCCTCCGGGGATGCTGCATGGAGGAAATGAAGTCCAAATGGAATCCTGAAGGATAACCAGGAGTTCATCCAGCAAAATGAGTCAGGGGAGACAGGGTTTTCTAGGCAGAGAGGACAGCACGTTCGAAAGCTGGGGGCAAGAGAGAACTTGATGAGCTTGAATACAGGATGTACAGAACTAGCAGTGGGTCAGAAATTAGAATGACTAGTTTCAGACTTGATGCAGTGACACAGTGGGTGATGGTTAGGTGACCCGCACAGTCTGAATAAAAGAAAAAGACCGAGTGACAAGTAAATGGATCATATTGAAAATAGAGTGTCATAGAAATCTGGAGACTAAAGAGTTTCCAAAATCCATTCCAAATGAGTTCATTGTCACAGTGCTTTGCCCTGAATATGCAAGGAGTCCCTTCTTTTGTGTGCTTTCATTTTAAAGAGAAAGGGAAGACAGAGAACAACCTGGTGAATCAGTTACATATTCAATATACTGCGGACTGGCTTTCCAGGTTTCACTTTATTTTTAATAGACTAGATGCTGACATGTGATAAAAGGGTTTAGATGTGTAGATTTGTGAGATTTTCCTTTCTTGCAGAACACGAAGTAATTGGAGGAGGCCAAGCATATTACTGTTATGCCAGAAGATATGTGCCACCTTTTATCAGCAGGCAGGCTTAGGAGAGAGAAAATTGGCTCAGAAGAAACTAGGTTTTCAAGATGATTTTGTTTGGTAATTTTGAATTCTGTTTTCTCACTGATGGTGCAGAAAGTTCTCAAAGATATGGTAATTACTGCAGAATTATGGCTTCAGGCATTTGCAGTTATTCAAACAGTAAAATTCCATTATAACATACCACCCTCTATGTGTTCACTTGTGCCGCATTTGAGAACTTGTTCCCTGTACTGTATACTACCTCTTTCTTGCAACACAGAACTCCTATAGCACGGAGGAGGAGAAATCCTAGAACTTGAATCACAGAGGGCAAAGATAAAGGACGATTATTGCATTCTGTATGGCAGATGCCACACGGTCGGGCTAAATCATTAAACTACTGCCCATACAGGTTTTGGTCCAGTGTCCTGTTGGGTCTGTGTAGAGTCCTTAAACAGTTGCACACTCAGAA